CATTCCATGGCCCCCAAGCCCCAGTGCTGTTGCCTCTTGGAACAGTTCATACCTTTTGATTGAAATTGACTCTTCATTCTCCTTCAAGATCAGTAAGTGGTGTGGTTCTTCTTCATGCATTCTGCCTTTGATGTTCCTAATTCTCAAAACAGAGGCTGACATTAGCCAATCTCTGGTCCCCTTCTGTGGAAGAGCCCTTCCCACCCCCATAATGAGTCAGTCCTCGGTGAATTGTTTTGTTCAGAATGAAAGCTTGTTATTTTAAGTTCTGTCTAATCACATTGCGGCTGTTTGGTCCCCACGGTGTGGGGCTTGCTTCCAAGATTGGGAGAAGCAACTGTGTGGGGGCATTACGCTCCTGATTTCAGTGGTGTCAGGGTCAAATAAAATCATCGTGAGGAATTTTTGTTCCTCCTATGATTTTAATAACGACACAATGTAGGATTTTCTCTTAAAAATGGTTAGAAACCCAAACAAAAGAGAAGCATGGGTTGTTACTGTTCTTAAATAGTCTTCACGTCCCACCAAGGGTCTCAAAGATAATGTCACTGAGAAACGAGCTTTGGCTGCCTAGAAGCTGTCTGAGGGAAGATGGAAGCTGAAGTTAGCATTCCCATTTCACAGCTTCTGTCCATCGGTGGGTATCAGACAGACCTCACTCTCATGGACACACAGAGAAAAGAGTGTTGTGTTAGAAAGTTTGAGGACAAGTAGAATATCAGAAAGCGGGGAGGCCGACAGACGGAGAGGCTCTTGGTTCTGAAATTCATTTTCAAATAAAGAATATTAAACAGAACATGCGGATCTAGTTCTTCTAGTTTTTATGACATTACTCATGCTGAGCTGCCCAAAGCTATCTTTGCATCTTAGTTTCATTCAGTGCCCTAGAAATTTGATATAATGGAATGGAAGAATCATTGACTTTGTTAATATGCCATATTCTCATCTCTCCCAAATATCACTTTGATATTACGGGAACATGCTTGTCACCTTCCTCTTCTCCATTTCCATATTTATTTGCCTGAGATAAAAGTTGGTTATGGGGCCTAACTTTGATTTCTCCTATGTACACAGATTATGTGGATTTTCTCCTATTCCCATCTTTTTGAATTTAATTCTTTTTTTAAAAAAAAAATATATTTTATTGATTTTTTTTTTTTTTTTTTTTTTTTTACAGAGAGGAAGAGAGAGGGATAGAGAGCTAGAAACATCGATGAGAGAAACATCGACCAGCTGCCTCTTGCACACCCCCCACCGGGGATGTGCCCGCAGCCAATGTACATGCCCTTGACCGGAATCGAACTTGGGACCCTTCAGTCCGCAGACTGACGCTCTACCACTGAGCCAAACCGGTTTCGGCTGAATTTAATTCTTTAAAAATAATAATAATACCTCTTTATTGATTTCTGAGGGAAGGGAGAGGAAGAGCTAGAAACATTAATGATGAGAAAGAATCATTGATCGGCTGCCTCCTGCACATTCTCCATTAAGGATGGATCCTGAAACCCAGGCATGTGCCCTGACTTGAACTATAACCTTCTGGTTCATAGGTCGATACTCAACCACTGATCCACACCAGCCAGGCTGAATTTAACTCTAGATTGATGTTTTGAACATCTCTTCCATGACTTGAGTGGTGACTAGGTCTTCATAAGACAAGTACATATGTGAATACTGTATCTTTCAATATGAATCCTTTGGGAAAGTGAAGAGAGCATCTGTGGAGTTCTGAGATGCTATTTCCCGCCATGTGTAAACCTGAATGCATTAACCAGTCAGTCAGTGGTTCATGTCAGGTGCCTGGCTCCCTTCTCCAAGTTCTTTTTACAAAAAAGTAATACTTCAGAATTAAGAAAGTTTGCTTAATGGGCTTTATGGATTAGGAACTATGGCAAGGACTTTCCAAAGATGAACTGATTTAATTCTCAGGGCAACTTCATGAGGCGGGTGGCCGATTTCTTTCTTTAAATTATTTTATTTTTCAATTACATTTAGCATTTGATATTATTTTATACTAGAGGCCTGATGCCCTCACAGCCTCAGCTTCGTCCGGAAGGTCGTCCAACTGTCCAGTCTAATAAGTTTCAGATATACAGGGTGGCAGTAGTATTTCATAGTATGAGAAGGGACATTGAGGCTCAGGAAAGTGTGTAATTTGCCCAAGTCAGTGGTGGAGTTAGGGTTGGAAGTGAGCTGTTTATTCTTGCTGGTAATTTGTGGCCTTCAGTTTGATTGACTTTAGAGTTGGGAGGAAGCCATGGCCCTCAGGTCTGTACAGAAACAACACAGATGCAGTGTCCTTGGATGCCCAGAGGCATGTTTCAGAGGCAACACCCTCAGCAGGCCCGCCCAGCCCCTTCACCCCACGGTGTGTGTGATGTATATTTTCTTCTTCCAAAACTGGGATGGAGTTTGGAACAGCAAATATTTAATCAGAGCAAATTCTCCTTGCTAAATCCTGCCAGCTTGTTCAACTCGAGGTTCTTTGCCTAAAAATTCTCACTACTTACTGAAAGCTAAATGACTGAGTCACCCGCAGAGCACAAAGCAGGCCTCAGTATCTGGAGCAGGGGTTGTTTACCTACTTTCCTTTTGGATGAAATGTGTCCTGCCACATACTCACCCTTTGATGAGCCTAAGGGCCTCTGGGAATCAACACGGGAGGGCATTTGTGGGGGGTGATTGGATAGGAGCTCCCGCCTCTTAATCAGCATGCTTCCTAAAATGGATTTGAAGAGGAGAGAAGTTGGTTTGAGGCAGGAGGTGGAGAAGAGCCCGAGGTGAAAGGTGAAAGATGGAAGATGAAAGATGGGCTGGTGTAGATGAAAGGGTTGGCGGTGGTTGAGGTGTGTGTGAGAAATTAACTTTGCTGAGAGAGTGGGAGAGAGAAGGGAGGGAAGAAAAGATTCGAATATTACACAGCAATAAAGCCTGTACAACTAAAACAATTGGTCCTTGTTTATCTGAAATTTCAACTTAACTGGACATTCTGGCAACCCTACATGTGTGCTACTTTGTTTGATAGCCTGGTCAAAAATACAGTAGTGTCTTTTTATGCATTGACATCTTGCCTGGATCTTAAGAAAAAAATTGCTGACTATAAAACGTTTGACATTTCTTTATGAAATCTTTCGTGCATTTTTTGCCTGAGGCCGTAGTTTTGAAAATATGTTTTGTTTAGGAAAAATGTGTTTGAGATTTGGGTATAGTCATGGCTGCAGGCTTTTTCTGAGGTGAGGGTCTGGAAGATGAACTCCAATTAAGTTTAGTCTTCCTTTTGTTTATGGAAATCTTAATAGCCTCAGTGATGAGTGTTTCTTTATGATCTTTTCTGGAGAAGAAGCTAAATTTTAGTTTTAGTTTTATCTCCAGTTTGTGTCATTTCCCCCCCTCTGTGTTATCTTTTGTCTTGTGAATTACAGCTATGTGTTTTCAACTTTTTTTTTTCTGTTTTGAAGAGAGTTCAGCTTTGATGTTGATAAATAAGTTTTTAAATCACTGACTAAATCCTTAATGTTCTGTGTTCATAGAAATATACTTCTTGTTCTCATTATATAAGATTTCAGTTCTGATAATATGACTAGGTCTTACTTTGAAACCTTCTAATGGGGCTAGTATAAACCACTGCCAACATTCATCAGGAGATGAGTATGCATAAATAGCTCCAGTGGATCAAGGAAAAACGTAACAGCCAATTCACAAAGAAAAATACAGACGGCCATAAATTTATGAAAAGAAGTGAACCTTACTAGTAATGAGGAAAATGGACATTGAGACCGGATAGTGTTTTTTACCTTTATGTTATTTTTTTTTTTAAATCTATTTTTATTGATTTCAGAGAGCAAGGGAAAGGGACAGAGATACAGACGCTTCAACATTGAAAGAGAATCATTGAGTGGCTGCCCCCTGCTTGCCACGCCCCCTACTGGGAACCAAACCCGCAACTCAAGCATGTGCCTCTGACCAGAACCCTTCAGTCTGTAGGCTGACACTCTATCCACTGAGCCAAACCAGCCAGGGCTGTTTTTTACCTTTAAATCAGGTGTTCAGGTTGGGAACCTGAGCAGGCTCAGGTAGTTCTGGTGGGATATAAACTGGTGCAGCCTTTGAAAGTGTGATTTGACTTTATCTCTTCAAATTTTAAAATGTACATGCTACTTGATTCACTGATTCCATTTGTGGATCTGGAGTCTATCCACATCAATAATGGCACATGTACCATGAGGCATGCACAGCAGTGTTACTGAATCAGTGTTTGTAATAGCAAAACAAGAGGCCTTCCCAGAATGATCAGTGTGGGAATGCCTATCAGATTTAACCTAGCCTTACTCTAAAAGATTATATGGTGGTTAAAAAGGTGCGCCTGTATGTATTAATAGGGAAAGACCTCCACAGCTCATTGTTAGTTATGAAAAAAAATGTTACAGAATAATATATATATATACTATTTTACTTAATAAAGCTGTTTGTGTGGTGTTTATGCTTGTGTGTATGAGAGAAGGAGAGAGAGAGAGAGAGAGAGAGATGTATATGGCACACTATACAGTGTATGTATGTGTGTGCTGTGTATAAGTATGGGATGTGTATACATACATATGTACACACACATTTATGTATGTAAACTAATAAAAATATTCACCAAATTGTTAACTCTCCCGAGGAAAGGACATTTTGGGGGTGGGAATGAAAGCAGTCTCTCACCTTTCATGCTCTATATTTCTGCATTTCAAGAAAAATGTATGTGCATGTATTACAAGTGTGATTTTTACAAATTCTGATGCTGGGTTTCCACATTCATTTGGAGTAAGTACAGGCTGAGAGGTACAGCATGAGCACTGAATCTTTAAAAAAGACTCAGAGGAAACTAAGGAAAAGCCTTGGGCGAGGGCCTTCTCCCCAGGGTTTGTGCCTTCCACATGGGACGTGACGTGTCGCTGAAGCTCTTCACAGCAGCCCCTTTCCCCAGCTCTGACAGAGGACGCTTTTCTCTGTTTCCTCAGATTCCTTTTTACGAAGACATCTGCAAAGGCATTAAAGCCGGGGACACCTGTGAGAAGCTGGTGGGGTACTCTGCGGTGTACAGAGTCTGCTTCGGAATGGCCTGTTTCTTCTTTATCTTCGGCCTCCTGACCTTAAACATCAACAACAGCAAAAGCTGCAGAGCCTACATTCACAACGGGCAAGTCTCCCGCATTCGCTTCCCGGGCCTTCCGTTCGCAACGCAGGCTGGGACCGCCGTACCCGTGGGCCTCTGCCTGCTCTCCCTCCTGCCTAACTCGCTGGCCCTGGTTTTAGGGAGGGTGGGACCCAATACGTGTCCCCGCGCGGTGGCCCAGGAGCTAGAATCCTGTTTGTAACGCTGGTGCCATAATGAGAAAGGCAGTGGAGACAAGAGTTAATTTCTGGTACCGAGACCTTTCCCCGGGTCACTTCCACGCCGGCAACAAAACGAGGCTTCGCACAATCAGAGGCCGCGCGGGGCCCGTCTGATGTTGGGAAAAGGCAGTCTCCAGTCACTTAATTACTTCCCCTCGATTTGGAGAGAACAGTGCCCATGGCAGAGCCACGGCGGGACATGCTTACCTTCTAAGAGGCCTTTTGTCCTTCATTGAATATCATTTAAATACATTTCCTCTTTTTTTTTTTCTTTTCCTTTTTTCTCTGTTTTTCCAGCTTTTGGTTCTTCAAGCTCCTGCTCCTGGGGGCCATGTGCTCCGGCGCGTTCTTCATTCCCGACCAGGAGACCTTCCTGAATGGTACAAATGCGTTTCTGTTCATTTCGTTCTTACCCCATTTTTGTAAAACCATCAAAAGCACAGTCCAGGGTGCCTTTGATATTTTGAATTACTGACTTTCTTGTGGCTTAAAAAGAAAAAAAAAAAAAAAATCCTGACCTGCCTGCACTTTATCCACTCTCCCTACTCCCTATCTCCCCTCTGTTTCCCTCCTCCGGTTCCTTCCCACTCCCTCCCTCCCTGGCAGGCTGTGGGAGGACCTTTCCTTACTCAGCAGCCTGAAGCATTGAAATGATAATTGTAAGGTTATTGGCATGAAGGGAGAATGAAGCGCGTAACATTTGTGTGAAGGTCAGTTAGTAAGTCAGCCTGACCCTACCAGCCGTGCTGGGCCTTGCTCGCTCTGAGTGTGGCTCCGAAAAGCCTGGGCTCCAAACATGGGCTTCTCAGCCTTCAAACCTGCCGCAGCTCCAATGAGAGGAGAGAGGCCTCCCCTTCCCTTTCTTTTTTCTTTCTTTTTTTTTATTAAATATTTTATTGATTTTTTACAGAGAGGGAGAGGATAGAGAGAGTTAGAAACATCGATGAGAGAGTCATCGATCAGCTGCCTCTTGCACACCCCCCACTGGGGATGTGCCCGCAACCAAGGTACATGCCCTTGACCGGAATCGAACCCGGGACCTCTCAGTCCGCAGACCGACGCTCTACCACTGAGCCAAACCGCTTTCGGCCCCTTCCCTTTCTAAGCTTACCCTCCGCGAAGCTGCGGAACACTGGGCTGTGTGCCGTATCGATGGAACACACCAAAGGCAATTTAATACGAAGCCTTTCGTCATAGCCCTTCTTCATATGCGTTAGGGAGGAAACAGGCCTGGATTTCAGCGGTTCGAGCACCGTTCAGCCCACATGAATTCGCTTTCCTAGCTAAGATGGTGGAAGTGTTCCCATTGTGTCAGGCCATGAGGAACAGCGACAGACCTTCAGAGGAAGAAGGTCCAGCTTTTTCAAGATCACACTAATTTTATGTTCTCCTTAAGGAAGTCTTGTCTTTACCTAAAATGCTTGTTAGCTGGTTTTCTCTTTCCGACAGACGTCCTTTTATGTGTTAGACGCAGTGGTCGGCAAAGTCATTAGTCAGCAGAGCCAAATATCAACAGTACAACGATTGAAATTTCTTTGGAGAGCCAAATTTTTTAAAAACTTCTTCTAATGCCACTTCTTCAAAATGGACTTGCCCAGGCCGTGGTATTTTGTGGAAGAGCCACACTCAAGGGGCCAAAGAATCGCATGTGGCTCGTGAGCTGCAGTTTGCCGACCACGGGATTAGAGTAATATCTTTGGGATGGGAAGGGACCTAGCATCCACTAGTCCAGCTCAGTCATGTGTATAGACAGGCTGGAACCCAGGGATGTGACATGGAACCAAAGTAGGGTCTGCGTCCTTGGTCCCCAAGTCTGAGCCTCATTTCCTTACTAGACACCGGTGCCTCCCTATCCAATAAAATTAGAGCCCGTGGCTTTTCTGGCAATGTGTGCTTTTCCTTTTCAGTTGTGGGCCGTGTTGACTTTATGAATTGCTGCGTCTGTTAGAGTACCTGGCAGTTGTAACGTGGAGGTTAGGCTTGGATGCACCAGAGCCAGACTGTCTGGGTTCACCTCCGGTGACACCCATTCCTGGCTAAGGGACCTTGTCAACTTAGACTCTCAGTTTTTCTCATCTATAAAGTGGTCTAATAATACTACGCGTGTGTGGGAATTAAATGTGTCGCAGGTCCAGTAAGCATATAGTAAAAGTGGGCTGTGGTCATTCATTACCCTCTTTCATTACTCGGAACAGTGGTGTCATTCCTTTTGGGGGGGCCTTCTTTTGCAGCCTGGCGCTACGTGGGAGCCATCGGGGCCTTCCTCTTTATCGGCATCCAGCTCATCCTGCTCGTGGAGTTCGCACACAAGTGGAACAAGAACTGGTATGTGCCTTTATGGGAAGCTTCCAAGAAAACTCACTCGTTGACTCAGAGTCTGCCCACAGCACATCGCCGACAAAAGCTCTCTCTGAGTGTCCTGGCGGGAGAGCCTGCCTGCCACAGGGACAGTTTTTGCCAGCATTCTGCCTTTGCTCTCGCTCTTTGGATTTGTTCATTTACTTCTCCCCCATTTGGCTTGTCGATTCTTTCTGCCTTTTTTCCTCCTACTTCATTTCTTCTCACCTTTTGGCTCTTTTTCCCTGCCCTCTCTCATTTGGGCTCTGAGTCAACCAGCAGTGTGACTTGGCCACACTCAGCCCCACTGGAGGCACTTCCCCCCCACTCCCACCCCCAGCTCTGTGGCTGTGTTGAAAACTTGGGCAGGCTTCCTCTTGGGCTTCCAACCTTAGGAGAGAGGAAAAATAATAATACTTTGAAGCTAGAGGTGCCCTTTCTGCAAAGATGCGATGGAATAATTCTCTCCTTTAAAAAAGTGTTTATGTTTGTTCACCACTGCGTGGGTGTAGAAGGATGCCTTTGTTAGGAAGATGTGTTGTGCTACCTTAGAAAGCCAGCCTGTGTTTGACGAACACAGACTCTTTCTATGTGCCCTGGAAGTGGAATTCCTATCCCAGGATAAGTGGGAAATGACAGACTATTAATAACTGGTTTTTATTCTTGCTGAGCTACGTTGAGGAAATGGCGGCCAGACAAGGGTCCAACCCCCTGCGTCCTAAGGGCAACTTGACTCTTTGTGACTCTGGACAAAGCACTTAGACTCTCTGTCTTACTTTACTTACAAAATATGAATGATAATGACTGCCTTTTGTACCCAGTAAGGCTTTTGTTATTTTGTTGGCATCAGATTACTTTATACTTTTTGGGGGGAGGGAGAGGGAAGGGATTAGAAAGTTTTAGATGAATGTGAATTTTATTTTGGACAAAACAAAATATACTGTCTAAATTTTCTCAAAATACTTTTCATTCTGATTATAGTTCTCAGGTTGGAGGTATTCATTGCCTGCCATTTTATTTTGCTATTTTTTAAAGATCGAATCATGAGATGCATTAATAATTTTGTTATTATTATTATTATTATTATTTTTAACCATGGCTACTTTTTAAATTTTTTATTCACTGATTTTAGAGACAGAAAGAAAAAAACATTAACTTGTTCTACATATTTATGCATTCATTGGTTGATTCTTTTAAAAAATATATATTTTATTGATTTTTTACAGAGAGAAAGGGAGAAGGATAGAGAGTTAGAAACATTGATGAGAGAGAAACATCGATCAGTTGCCTCTTGCATATCTCCTACTGGGGATGTGTCCATAACCAAGGTACATGCCCTTGTTCGCAATCAACCTTGGGACCTTTCAGTCTGCAGGCCGACACTCTATCCACTGAGCCAAACTGGTTAGGGCTCATTGGTTGATTCTTTCATGTTCCCTGATTGGGGATCAAACCCACAACCTTGGCATAACAGGATAACACTCTAACCAATTGAGCTGTCCAGCCAGGACAATCATTTTTTTATTATTTGGGAAATATTGGAGTATGTATCCAAATGCTTATGGCCAGTTTCTAAAATGTTGACAGCAAATCGAATACAAGTAGTAATACAGATATGTTTTGGTATTTTTCAAGTCTTAATCTCTAAGATAAGAAAAATTTCTAGTTTTAAAAAGTGCTCATATGTAAGTTTGTGCTTATTTTCTTGCTTTTTATAAAAATAAAAGAAATTTTTTTCATTGATCTCAGAGAGGAAGGGAGAGAGAGATAGAAACATCAAAGGTGAGAATCACTGATAGACTGCCTCCTGCATGTCCCCCACTGGAGATCAAGCCCAAAACCCGGGCATGTGCCCTGGAATTGAACTCAGGACCCTTCAGTCTACAGGCCGACACTATCCACTGAGCCAAACCAGCTAGGGCATGCTATCCTGTTTTTTGAGTCATCCCTGAAACCTAGTAGTTTATATTTGAGGTCTCTACTCCATCTTATTTTGAGGCAGCAAAGTTTTCCTAAAGATAAGTCAAATGGGTGACTATAGTTTTATGTGACCCTAATTTTCTCAACTGTGACAATAAATTGGAAATGCATTGTAATTGATTACATATCACTCTTTCCATGATAAGTCTTACTGTACTTTCACTCTGAATTTCTTATTAGCATGTGTCATTCAAAATTTCTCCTAAAATTTCCCCAAATATTCTTCTAATAAGGAACTTCCTGATAAAATATTAACATCTTCGATACTGAGTCCCTGATTTGCCCACTGAATATCATCTTCTCTTGAGAATTCTTGGGCTTTTTCACTCTGATTTTAATGTTTTGATTGATGCTGAAGCCATTTTCTGGGACTGGTTATCAATGCCAACTCTTAACAGGCTTTTTGGAAGAGCTTTTTTTGCTTTTAAAAACTTTCCAGAAACCACTCAGTCAGAATGGCTTAAAAGCTTTGCAACAATGATGTTGCTGTTTTCCCGGCTTTGAGGCCAATATCCCAACAAAACCCCTTTGTCAACATATTTATAGTCGGTTGGGTGGTTTGCCTAAAATTAGGATTAAGCTAGGAAGCTCACTCATATTTTTATTTTTATGTAAATTCACTTACATAAAAATGGAGTTTTTCTAGAGTTTTTGCTGTGTTTTTTTAAACAGTCTCTTGCTTACAGGTTAGTCTAGAAAATAGACTACTCAGATCACTCTTCATGGAACAACTAAAGTACTTTTCCCTTGTTTTCCTTTTTGTGAAGACGTTGAGAAGGAGAAGGCCGTGGGGGAGGAAGGTGATGGCCTGGAAACCAGGGGGTGTGGACGGTGCAGCCCCTCACTCTCCAGCTCGCTGTTTCCCTGTAGGCAGGTCTCTTGGCCTCTGTGACCTTCATTTTCACACTTGTAAAGTGATGTGTTTGGACTAGATGGTTAGTGTGTTTTGTGCTTTTGTTAAAAGACAAACTGAGGCATATTAAAGACGTTTTAGGGTTTATTTGAGCAGAAAATTGATTTGAATTGACCAACATCCAAGCTAGCAGATAAAAGGGAGCTCCAAGGAGCCGGGCAGAATGAGACCATTATAGGCAGAAGGGAGCAGGAACAAGGAAGTTATACAGGGGGAAGTGGGCCAGTTACTGTAGGGCTCCTCTCCTCTGGGGGATGGATGGCAGAGGTCTCTCAGGCAGATTCCCTAATGGTGTTAATCAGGTGCTTCCTGATTGACTGGTTTAGGATTCTTACTTCCGGGAAAGCCAAATTGCAATTAGGCTGTCTTGGTTTGGTGCCTTAGCATAAAGCACTTCATTTGGGGTCTGTTGTCTTGTTTTTAATAATTCCTAGCTGAAATTTTGTGGGTAGAAGGGTCAATTCCGTATCAAAACTGAAATAAAAAGTAGATGGTATATTCAGGTATTTCTCACAAAGACCCATTTTCTATACTTTTAATTTATATTGTTTAGTTTACTGACCCCAAGCCTGAGCCCAGTTCACTCTCCCACCTGGAAGCTGCTTGCGGCTGTGACCGTGCTCTCTGCTGTGCTGCCTGGTCCTGTTCTAATCTCCAGTGCCTCTCACTGAGTGTTTATTCACAGTGGACTGTGACTGTGGCAGCATCCACACGGTGAAGATAAGTCTCTGCACTCGTTAGAGGGGTTTGTGAAAACAAGATGTCGTCAGGGGACCAGCTGAATCTGGAGCTGCATTACCTGCTAACATGACCGCTGAGTTCTTTGTAGCATCGACAGTCCTTGCACCAAGTCAAGTGCCTGCTGTTTGCCAGCCCCTCCACAGTAGAGCACATGAACAACAATGAGCGTCTATAAGCACTGCCTTTTCTTTGTTCTGAACAATTTCTCTCGCTTGTTAAACCACCACTGATGTCTCCCATCCTTTTATTAATAGTTGTAAACTAGAAAGCACATGTACATGTCCTGCTCTGTGGAGCATACGTTCCTCTGGGCAGGAGGGGGGGGGGGGAGAGGGAGGAGAGATAATCATCTTGATTAATCAAGCAAATAAATAATAGGTACAATGGTGAAAAGTGCTCTGGAGAAAAAGATAGCCGGGGTGGGAGCTGGGGAGAGCGGGCAGGGGAAGGCTTCCTGATGAGGTGTGAGGGCGATGGAGGAAGTGGGGAGAGCCTGAGCAGGGCTGCTGGGCCCTTGCTGTGTGTGCTAAGGAGTGTCCTCTGTGGCTGGACGCCAGCGGTGAGGGCGGGGTGTAAGAGATGACGTCACACTTGGCACTAGGCCAGATCATGTAGGGCTTCTGAGGCCACCCAATGAACTAGAAGGGGACTGGCCCTGGCCGGGTGGCTCATTGGTTGTAGTGTTATCCTGTACACTGAAAGGCGGTGGGTTCCATCCCCAGTCAGGGAGCGTACAGGAGGCAACTGATGGATGTGTCTCTCTCACGTCAATGTTTCTTTCTAAAAATCAATGAAAAAGACATATCCTCCAGTGAGGATAAAAAATAAAATAGAAGGGGCACCGGAGGGACATAATCTAATTTAATCTAAAGATTAGTGGGAGTTGTAGGTGCAAGTCAGGAGGCCAGTGGGAGATAATCCAGGTGAGAGCTGAGGTGGCTTGGAGCTAGATGTCAGCAGCAGTCAGTCTGACACTCTGAGGTTGAAACCAGTAGAATCTGCTGCTGATGGTGGCATGGCGGAGGGGAGCGAGAGCAGCAGGGAAAGACAGAGCCACTGCAGTTCTTTCCTTTAACGCATCCCAGCACCACCACCACCTCCTTCCCCCCACCCCCCACCCCCCACACATAAGGAGTAGGATGGAGTTGCCATTTTCTGAGGTTGGCAAGACCAAATAAGATCTGACCATTGGGAAGTTACTCTGGACCTGTTAAGTTGGCCATACTGATCAGATTTCCAAGCGAGGATGCAGAACCGTTGGATATTATGAGACTGGAGTTGAGAGGAGAGGTTAGGGTTGAAGATTAAACTGGAAATATAAGCATAAATTAACTGTAAGGAAGTTCTCCATATGTTAATAATATCACCCAGAAGGCTAGTGGAGAAACACGTGGGCCCCACCCACACGCTGGTCAGCAGTGCTGACCTTTTTCTACATAATTCATTCTCTCCGTGTGTCATTCATTACTATTTGGCTCTTAGATTTCTCCCCCCCCCCCCCCCCCCCCCCCATTCTCGAGTCTCGTTTTTCTCCTTTCCTTTGCATGCCTTTTATGTTAGAACACTTTTGTGGTCATTGGAGTGCCTGGCTCCGTTTCAGGAATATAGTGGTCATTGTCTTTTTGGCCTTTCCCTCCCTTTTTCCTTTGTCTCTGGCTGCGGTAAGGTTTTCGTCGTTAGAATATTTTAGCTGGGTTGCTTGATCACTTTCCAGTTTTGCAAAATTAGTAAGCAAGTTGCTTTCCCTGAAGGTTTGTGAGAATGTGGTTACAAAGGGCAGTGTGATCAGAAGGCAGCTGACGGTGATTCAAGGCATTCTTCCCATTGCTCCGTCCTCTTCATTTAGCGTCTATAAGCCCTCCCTTTTCTTTGTTCTGAACAATCGCCCTCGCTTGTTAAACTGCCACTAACGTCTCCCCTCCCTTTAATAACAGTGGTAAAGTGGAAGGCATATTCATCTCCTTTAGATTCTTCACTGTACATCCCCTTAAAATGCTTCCTCTCCCCTGGCTGACTTTCTCCCCGTTGGTTTAGTGTCATATTTCCCCTTAATCACACTTGGCATTGCTTTGGAGAAGCAGAACTATTACAGAGCCTGCCTTTCAGAGTGCGATCACAGAGCTGAGGTCTCTCTCTGGGAGAAGTTAATTCGCTCCTCTCCCTGAAGACCAAAGGGGCTTCCGCAGGAGCCGCTGGCTGCGCTGGGGTGAGCACCATGGCACCTCCAGTCTCTGGGTTTATAGGGGCAACGGGAAGCGAGCTCCAGCAAAGAGCCACTTTGTCATAATGCTGCCAAAACCCGTCCCAGGGTAATTCACACTCAGAAAGCCTGTGGACAGTCATTATATAAGGATGAGTACATTTGTGTCAAAAACAGAATCTTTTCAGTATTTAGAGCACATTCTAAGCTTGGACCACGAAGTTTTTGCATATTTACCTGCACCTTCTCGCCTTGACGTGGCATAATCATTGGCGGGTCTCCTGGAGGACTCCGTTCTGATGGGCTTGGGCTGGACAGCATCAGTTAATGGTACCAGTAAATGTCAGCGCAGCGGTGGCCTTGACTGACTTCTCTTCTCTCCCGTCCCGCTCACCCACGTACCGGACAAACAGGACTGCAGGCACAGCTCACAACAAGCTGTGGTACGCCTCTCTGTCCCTGGTGACTCTCATCATGTACTCCATCGCCGCCGGAGGCTTGATTCTGATGGCCGTGTTTTACACACAGAAAGATGGTTGCATGGAGAACAAAATCCTCCTGGGAGTGAACGGAGGCCTGTGTGTGCTGATTTCACTGGTCGCCATCTCGCCCTGCGTCCAAAACCGTAAGCACAATCCCCCCCCCCCCCCCATTCTTCCTTATTCATAGTGTAAGTGTCTTTTAGCAAACCCAATGATAACAATAATTTAAAAAACATCATTCCTTAACTTTCCAAGCATGGATCAGCCATAGGAAAGATGGGACTCCGGTCTCCTCTTCATGCCCCCCACTTGGGCTGAATGTGACCGTCAAGCATGGCTCATGTCAAGAAAGATCTAAACATGATGAATCCAATGAACTAGGAGAAGGATTTTACCATTGTTAAATAATGTACCACAAGGAGCCTTTACATGGAAAGGCCCTTATTGTACATCGAGCTCTTCACTATGTTCTCTGTGCAAAACTTGAATGAGAAGGCTCCGGAAGGAGCTGTTTTCTGGGCTCATCTTTCTCTCGAGGTCAGGCACCAGGGACAGTGCGGTTAGGAAGCAGGAAATCCGATCTCCGCTTGGCCAGCTGCTGGCCTCCCGAGCTGTCTTCATCAGACTCAAGTCCTTCCTCAGCAAAGCCAACAGAAACCTGTGAGCCTGACCGTGCTCATCATTGTTTCAAAGCCAAAAGGAAGAGACATGGAATTTGAAAGTGCTTTAGAAAGTATAGGCATCAATTGTCCTTTGTAAATGACTTCTGATATCTTTTTAAAATATATATATATTTTTATTGATTTTCAGAGAGGAAGGGAGAGGAAGAGAGAGCTAGAAACATCAATGATAGACCCATGGATCAGCCGCCTCCTGCACACACCCCCACCAGGGATCGAGCCCGCAACCCAGGCATGTGCTCTGACCGGAATCAAACCCAGGACCCTTCAGTCCTCAGGCAGATGCTCTGTCCACTGAGCCAAACCAGTTAGGGCGACTTCTGGTGTCTTAAGCCAGTGTGCTGTCTTTGGTTGTAGACAGACTTGTCCTTGGTTTCGAGTTTCCTGTAGGTGTCTTACTCTACAGATGTTTGCGGGTGGGGGGTGGGGTGGGGGGGGCGAGAATTACATGGCATTTAGGTTTCTAGATAGGAAAAGGTAAAAATGGCCAATAAATTTATAGCACCTTGAAACCTTTCTAAAATGGCGAGTTAAAGGAGCTGGTGTTGATTAATATAAAAGCTTTTCTGTACTAAAAATTTCAAGACCGTTATTGAAATTGAGAGTATTATTCTTTCAAGTCACTTTAATTGGTCAGATAAGAATTTCCTAAAACTTTATTAGTATTCAGATTAAAATATCCTTTGGGTAAAATCCCACCTTTTGAAATAGTTATAACATTTTTAATATTTAGTTTAATGCCATTAATTGTTAAGGTGAATCTTATTTCTATGCCAAAAGAGCAGCATCATTAAAGGGTCCGTTTCTATACCTTTATTGGCCATTGTAATTTCATAAATATAATTCTGGAAACAAATTTAACCAGAGAGAAGAATGGGTAAAACCCAATGTTTTCATGCCAGTAGGTGGTGGAAAATTTCACCAAAAAAAATATAAATCAGTTTTATCACCTCCTGGTTACTATCAACGATATAAACACTTAAGTTTAATTTAAATGCTGTAACATAAAAGCCCTCCTCCCAGTGAATGCTGAGCCCCATAACTTTCCTCTTTAGCCTGGACTAGCTCTGGTATGCCAAAGGTTGTTTTTTTTAATCCATTGATGAATAAGAGCTTTTTTCCACTGTCATGGACTGTAAGTATCTGCTGTCCTTATAGAATCAGGAGTCCATGGAGCTCAGAAATAATGATGGTAAGTGTTCTTCTGAGATCTTGTGATATAAGAACTAATGTTGCCCTAGTTTGGTTGCTCAGTGGTTAGAGCATTAGCCTGTGGACTGAAGGGTCCCAGCCTCAATCCCCTGCCCCAGTCAGGGCACATGTGGGAGGCAACCAATCGATGTGTCTCACTCACATCAGTATTTCTCTCTCTGCATATCTTCCCTTCTTTTCCACTCCCTTAAAAAAAAAAAAAAAAAAAATCAATGAAAAGAATATCATTGAGTGAGAATTAACAACAACAAAAATTTTTTTAAAAAAGGAACTTAATATTATGAACTTCAGGGGTACCAGGCAGTATGTTTAAATACAGCTGTAGTTATAAAAATAAAGTGTTGGTAGAGAACTTGGCAGAGCTTGGCACCTTGAAAATAGCAGCTAGGCAGTGTCTAACTCCCTCCCCCCAAAATCTTTTTAGTGTTACCTAACAAACACATTGTGTACCTCTTCTTTCCTTTAAAGGCAGAGCCCAAGTTTGAGGAATCATTTTCACTTGGAGGGTGGAGAGACCCTTTTATTTTTTTTTATTTTTTAAGCAGGTTCTCTATTATTGTTGAAATTTAAAACACTGTCTACAAACCTGTCTCTTGTCATTTTCCAGGGCAGCCACACTCCGGGTTACTGCAGTCGGGTCTCATAAGCTGCTATGTCACATATCTCACTTTCTCAGCTCTGTCCAGCAAACCTGAAGAAGTGGGTAAGTTGGCCTTGTTAGGGAGCATGTGTTTGTGATACGAAAATTTTCATTTGTGGAGGAAGCAATGTGTCCCTGTGAGCTGTTGTGTAAATATGAGGGATGCAGTAAATCAAGAGGAGCTGTGTTCCTCCAGGAGTGGTGTTGAAAGCTGAGTTGCAGATGCTGGGAGTTGAACCCGGGGTCTCATATATGCCAGGCACCAGCTCTTCCACTGAGCTACATCCCCTCACTCGAAATAAATCAAAATATAGAAATGATTAAGACTTTTTCAATAAACCAAGACCTGAAGGTGGGATATGAAGATGAAAATTTCTTCTCTCTAGTCTTCCTGCTCTGTAGGAGAGTCATGTACAAAGGTAGATATTGAGTTTGCTTTTAGGCCTAATCTGCATTTCTCTGCTCTTTTTCCAAGGGATGTTTTTATTTTTTGTTGCTTATTTTGTTGTTGTTTTTTTTTAGTTGGGTATTAATTTACTTTTCTTCAGGTAGTCATTTCTCTGACTGAAACAAATAGTGGAAAAACATGGAAGTGGGAAGCAAGAAACAGGAAGAGATTTGAGCCCAGCTGCACCATTTGCTGGTTGTGTGACTGAATTGCTCATCTTAAATAACATTTATTTATAGAGACAAGAGGGCATGCATGAGCTGTGGAGTTGGACTGCCTGGTAGCCTGGTGCTGCTACTTAAGTAACTTGTACAAAGTTACTTACCATTCTCCGCCTAGACATCTTTCCCTTAAAATCAGAATTTTAATTTAACAAGACACTTAGAGAAGATTACTATTTTATAAGGCAATTTTTAAGAATTCAATTTTTCAAACATAGTAGGTACTAGATAAGGATAAGCTATTATCGTAGTTTCAATGATTATTTGAGAACTAAAAAAGTATATTATATTATACTAGAGGTCCAGTACACGAAATTGGTGCACTCAGTGGCAGGAAGCGGGGGGGGGGGGGGGGGGGGGATTTCCCTCAACCCAGATTGTAAGAGGGTACAGGCTAGGTTGAGGGACTCCACTGGTGCACGATCAGGGCCAGGGAGGGACTCAGGAGGTTGGCCAGCCAGACTGTAGGAGGGCTCCAGGGCATGTCTGGACCATCACGCTCAGTCCCAATCGGCTGGACCCCAGCAGCAAACTCACCTACAAGTTGGAGCATCTGCCTCTGGTGGTCAGTGCACATCATAGCAAGTAGTTGAGTGGCCTTAGCATATCATTAGCATTTTACACCTTGATTGGTAGAATGGACAACTGGACACCTAGTATATTAGGCTTTTATTATATAGGATTATATTATACTAGAGGCCTGGTGAATGAAAATTCGTGCACTGGATGTGGAGGTCCCTCAACCCGGCCTGCCCCCTCTCACAGTCTGGGAGCTCTCATGGTGGGAAGTGACCCAGCGATCAGGGGAAGGTGATGCCCCATCACACCTCTCCTGCTGCTACTGCTGGCAGCGCAAGCTTCAGCCGGCCCTGGTTACCTGAGCCTTGGGAGGCCTTGGGTGGCGGGGCAGCCACCATCCAAGGCTTGCCTGCACCTCAGGCCGGCCCTGGATGGCTGGAGGGCTGAGAGGACTGGAGGACTCTGGAGGCAGGTGCATGGAGTGGCCGGGCCCAGCCTTGCTGCACTCCTGCCGCCCCAGTGGGGCTGAGGGGACTGGGTGCCACCATCTTGTGGCTGTGGGTGCTGCCATCTTTGAGGGCTTGGCAGTCAGTCAGCATATTCCCTCCTTATTGGCTATGGGCGTGCTATCTTTGAGGGCAGGGCAGTCAATTAGCATATGTTCTCCTTATTGGCTGTGGGCGACGGACGCCATCTTTTGCAACAGCATGAGGGTCAATTAGCATATTCCATCTTTATTAGATAGGATTGTATTGTATCATATCATATCATATCATGGTTGGCGGTGGCTGGCCAGGTACTCCCTCCTTTCCCCTGGCCACCTGCTATCACCAGGGTCTCTCTCCCTTCCACAGCTAGCCTCGCCCCCTGGTCAAACTCCTGGAAGAACTCTCAGTAGAGGGAGCAATTTCCACACTACACTTTTATTATATAGGATTCTATTATAAAGAGTTATTGTATAAGCCCCTGAGCCTTGCCAGTGAAAAACAAAATTGAAGGTGTTTTTTAAAATTTTATTTAGGAAACAAAGGCAAAGATAATTTGAAAGGTTTAGCATATGCACGTACTATATGTATGTGTTGTTTTTATAGCTATTTATAGTGCAAAGTGATATAATTGTAGGCCTCATATAAAGTATAGTCTACCCTTGATATAATTTTTTTTTAAACAAAGTTCTATTTTGACTAAGTTTATTTTAACCTAGTCTCTTCAGGACTTTATACCTATATATTAATCTCTGGTTTTAACTTATTGGGGTTTTAGTTAACATAGTTTTCTTTTTAATGACAGGTATCACTTAAAAACAAAACAAAACAAAAAAAACTTTTATTTTTAATTCCAGGTGGTACTACTTAAATAGCAAAGTTCATATTTGGTCAGTTTTTAAGAAAACATTTTTCATTGGCCTAAGAATAAAGATTCCTTTAACCACAGCATACAAAGATATGTTTACTATTTCAAGTGTGAGTACTAGTAATAATTTCAGTCCAACTTCAAATACTTAGAATGTTTGTAAAATGGTTTCTGTCCCTTACTGAGACAGAGTTAGCAATCAGATCTAGATTGAAGACTGTGTTAGACAAAAAATAAACTACCACTGATGGTAATATTACAGAAATCTTTGTTATGTAGCCTCTCAAAATATTTTAAAAATCCAGACAGCCTCAGTAGGTTCCCAGGTTACAGCCTGAAAGGGGTCACAGCCATCCTGTTACTGGCAGTAAAATGACTTGTCATCTGGGGGAGATTGTGGGCAGATAGCTGTTATCTGATACTCGGTTGGTAGTTGAGTGCCCTTATCACACCTTCAGAGAGAGAGTGATCAACTATCTGTACATTATCTCTGTTCAGCAGCTGCCAGGTAAACTGAAAAATGAATCTAAGTTGCCCTGGTGGTTGTAGCTCAGTGGTTAGAATGTCAGCCCAAGCACCAAAGGGTTAGGGGTTTAATTCCAGTCAAGGACACATATCTGGGTTGCAGGTTTGACCCCTGGCCCATACGGGAAACAACCAATCGATGTGTCTCTCTCACATTGATGTTTCTTTATTTCTCTCTCTTATCCCCTTTCTCCATTCCACTCTCTCTGAAAATCAATGGAAAAAAAGATCTTTGGGTGAGGATTAACAGCAATAACAACAAGAGTCTAAGTGTACTTTGTAATATTTGAATAGTGCTGGAATCGGCAGGTCCTACTTGCAGGGTGTGAGGTGGGAGACAGGTGCTTTGAAATAGCCACTGTCTAGTCTGAGTCGAGTTGTACTAACGAGTAGAAGTTCCCAGTGATGAGCCTTTACTCTTTAAGCTACCTGAATTTCCCCCAAGTGAGTGAGTCTGAGTTACAACAGGTTTTTCTGATTTAACTGTGGTTACTTTGTTTTTCCTTTGCAAGTTCTGGACGCCCACGGGAAGAACATCACGATCTGTGCGCCTGCCTTTGGTCAGGACCTGTACAGGGACGAGAACTTGGTTACTGGACTGGGTACCACTCTCCTGTTTGCGTGCATCTTATATTCCTGGTAAGCTGTAGGATTACTTGAGCTCATCTTCACAGACTTTTAATGTGCAGAGAAGAATTTAAATAAGTTTTAGCAGCTGCGAGGCAGCAAAACAAATACCTTCTGAGGAAGAAGGAGAATAGAAATAGTAGGTGTTTGGACTTCATTGGTCTTATGTTTATAGGAGATAAATAAAATAAGTATGTGATACGTTGCCACCCTTTAAAAGACCATTGACTGTTACTTGCTAAAGCATTATTGGACGGCAAGTGAACACAAAGTGAGCTGTGTGCCAGGATGTTTGGAGAACTTGCTCATCCAAGGGAAATACCATTTGTTCTACTTTTGATGCAGAACACAAAGCACTTCGTACACGGTCATTTTGTGCCTTGTTGAGGAATGACAGGAAGTACCCCCCTTTTCTTTTTGTGCTGAAACCCACAATGCCGTTAAGGAGCGCAGAGCCCTCCAAAAGTAGGTGACACATAAGCAGGCTGCACTTCACATGCTTACGGTGGGGTTTCTTACACCTTTAAAATGTTTAAAAGATTGCCAGCGAGAGAGCAGTAAGGGATGGAAATGGTTCGTTTCTTATTCTGGGTAGATATTTCACAGGTAATTACGTTCCCCTGGGACGGTCACCTTTTCATGGTTAGGTTTTACTTCTGTGTTCTGTTGGATATGGTTCAGTATCTAAACATTTCCACTTGTCCTGGGCACGTTATAGTCTTCCTTTGGCTGGAATGAAATGATGCTGGTGGTGATACCTTGTATAAATAAAACATCTTTCCGGGCAAGTGGGCCTTTTCTCTTATAGCTTCTATCAGCCCCTCATGGTAGAAAGGGACCAAACACTTGCATGTGTTGCAGGTGGTTGTGACACTGATGCTCATGCTGCCTTTGGTATGGTAACAGCTTCTCCTCGTTGCACCAGGAGGGACCATGGTGTAGTCCACACAAACCCAGGGAAAAGCCCAAAGACTGAAACTCAGACTCTGTAAACAAAACAGGGGGCAAAAAAAGAGGCTAGCCCCCCAGTCTGGTAATTAGCAGATTTTTTTGAGGAAAACTTACGTACGAGGCAAGCCGTGGGCGGTTGTAGGACCAAATAGATCCCTGTGCCTCCTGCAGGTGCCGAAGAATTATAGAGGGTAAAGGGGCATGGGGCTCCAACTCTGCCAGGCACGGAAATTACTGATAGAATTGCCACAAATGGTGTCATTTTGCAGCATGGAATCTTGACCCTCTGAGACTTTCACTGCCACCCTTGAATGAGTGATGCTAAATAAAACATCACTTCTTTCAGACCTCAAAGGCACCACAGTGGAGGTTGGTGTGGCCTAGTCCCGTGGTCGGCAAACTGCGGCTCGCGAGCCACATGCAGCTCTTTGGCCCCTTGAGTGTGGCTCTTCCACAAAATACCATGGCCTGGGCGAGTCTATTTTGAAGAAGTGGCGTTAGAAGAAGTTTAAGTTTAAAAAATTTGGCTCTCCAAAGAAATTCCAATCGTTGTACTGTTGATATTTGGCTCTGTTGACTAATGAGTTTGCCAACCACTGGTCTAGTCTGATAGTCCTCAAAAGATAACAATGTCCAAAGCTGACAGCTGCTACTTAAAGTCTGTCTAAATGCCAATAGCAAATGTTAATAGAATGCTAGTAATTAAACTGCAAAACCATGGTGCCAGATGGGAGAGGAGGTGGGAAGCGGCAGCCACACACCGAGCGGAGAGCAGGGTAACCAGGTGGTGCCCGCCCGGTGTGTGTGTAACGCACTGTGGGAAGCTCACAGCGGGGTTGGGAGTGTGGGGTGGGTAAAGGAGGTTTGCTCAGTGTCCACTGCAGCTCCGCCAGGGAAGTGGGTGCAGGCCTGGTAAGTCGGGCGGAGAATAAAGGGAATTCCTGCCTGGGTGGAAGGCGGTCCATCCGGAGGTTTTCAAATCACGGCTTCTGGAGTTTATGCTTTCCTCCCAGGCTCAGGAGGTGTTACAAAACGAGGTTGGGAGGAAACTGTCATCTGAACATGATTGCAGGAATTTCTAGAATTTATGATAGAATCTATAGGAAGCTGGAAGACTAGGTAGTGTGTGTGCACATTAAAGGGAGACGAAGTCATCCGTTGACCTTCAGTGGGAGGCCAGGATGGCTGGGGCTGACTTTTCCGTAGGTCATAGAAGGCTCAGTGTGCTATCTTCTTCCCTATTCATGTATAGGAACCCCTCTACACACGCGTTCCCCCCCACCCCCAAACACATATCCCACACACACCACTTTAGGAGGCTCTCATGATGCCCTCCATCCTCAGTTTCTGGTTCTCTGCTCCAAATCCTGCTGCTGACACACTCGCTGTGTGTGTGTTTTGCTCTTTTGTGGTCTCAGCTTGGAGGAAGGGCTTGGCCCAAACTCACTCTCTGGCTTTCTGACTGAGGCCACCCTTTCTCCAGGCCCCTTCTGCTGCCTCCAGGCATCACTGTGATGAGGAAGTGTCACAGCTTGGACCCCATGCAGGATGCCTCACTGGCTCATTCTACAGGCTGGTCCCCCTACATCCGCCTCGGCCTGGCTCCTTGTGAGAGGCCCTGGCTTCCCCCAACCATCCCTTACTCCCCTCCTTGGCCTCTGGGCTTTGAGAGTATTCTTCTGTTGGTTTCAGATTCAAGCTGTGAGACTGGATAGGGTTCAGGAGTCAATCAAGTTCACTCCCCTCACTGTACCTAAAAGAAAATGGGATGGAGCCTGTTCCTCCAGCTCTGCACCCCCAATTTCAGGACACCACTCCTCGGGGCTCTTTTGCTGGGCTATTGGAGAGACGGGTCAAAATTTCCCCCCTTGTGTTGGCGTGGAGTAAGGTCCGTTCTTCACTCCGGCAGAAAGATAAGCTAGATGGCTCACATAATTATGTTATCAGGAGGCACTTGTGTTGTGAAACGTTACCCAGCTACTTCAAATTCCTGGACAACTTACACAAGAAAGAATTATATTTTCTCTTGAGCATAACAAAAACTGAAGATAAAACTATAAAAGCTAAGAAAGAATCTTTATTAAATTCCCACCTGGCTAGTTCAAAATGGGACATTCACAGCCATGTTGCATTCAGTGGGGACACAGGTACAAGGTTGGTAAGTTGGCATTAGAAAGATTGGCTTAAAATTAGGAAAATTGATAAATCAAGGAGGGCTATCTATTCTTGTGTGTTCTGGGCCTGATACTCTGATTTAAGAGGAAGGGAGGGGGAGTATCTTATTTTGGGAATCCTCCACTTTCCAGCCAGCCAGCTAGAAATTCCCACGTTCTGCATCGGGACCTGCTGAGGCCTGCCCCATGCTCCCCTAGGACTCTGGTCTCCTTTGGGGCTGTGTGTGCGTCACCATGTACATGGCAGCGGGAACGTAACTGAATCCCCCACACAAAGCCTGGGATGGCCGTGGGCCCTCTCAAAGGCCTGCCTGCACGTTTGTGAGGGAATCAGAATCCGTGGTCTCCCACAGGAAAGTCTGCGCGTGGTTTTGGAGGTTTTCTGTAATCGGGGCATTTGGCCAGTGCCAGAAGCACCTGTGTTTGAATCACTCCGTCCCTGTGGACAGGGCGGTGCTGCCTGGGCAAGGTACAGAGAGGCATCTTATCATTTTGGTTGTCACGGTGACTGTACGCCACTGCTGGCTTTTTGTGACGGGGACGAGGCCCGGCGGCCATGCTGCCGTGCAGTGGACATTCTCTGCGTGGGAAAGCATTGTCCCAGCCGAATGCTGTCAGTCTCCTGCGCCCCCCACAGGAAGGCCTGGTCAACACCACTCACATTTGAGGTCTAGGAGATGAGATTAGGGACAATCTGGGAATTATTTTACAACAGTTTGTCTCACACTGACCAAATAGATGGGTCAATGACAGCCAGAATATAGACAAGAAGAATTTTCTGTGTTTTTTTTTTTTTTTAAAGAGCTTGTAAAAAAAGTATTTTCTTAATAATCCCAAGAAAAGTGTTTTGTGGGGTAAGGCCAAGACTGAATAAAGACCTTATTTTACAGTAACATCTACTTGTAGCAGTCACACATCACAATGAACTGAATATAGGTCCTTCAAGGAGGATAAAAACTTCCCTTTTCAGTGCTGATGGTAGAAGTGAAGCCGCAAAAGTGCCAGAATCAAAGCTTTGTTTTTCTGAAACCGTCTATTGCAAAGAATTTATAAAACGGATATATATTCTACTCTCTTTAAAGTATATCATCTTTCAGGTGAAAATTCCAGATACTGACCTCTTCCTAAAATCGAAAGTTATATTTATCCCCATGGAAACTGTATACTATCTTAAATAAATTCATAGGCACAAGATATAGGACACTTAAATGCAGGAGCAAGGTGTCTATTTCTTGGGTGCACAGCCAGTGGAATGTTTCTGCCATTCCTCTACCCAGGCTCAGAGTCAGGAGGTTGGAGTGGAGTGGGCCTCAATTAGCATCCATCTGCTCAAAGCAGAAATGAAAGTGATGCTGTTGGTCTTTGGTGGACCACAAAAGAAGCAATAGCTTGGATCCCAGAGGACTTCTTTATGACTAAGGCTTTTTATTGTTTACTAGAAGCCCAGTGCACGAATTCGTGCACATTGAAAGGAAATTAATTAGAAGAAATATTTTAGAGGCCAGGCAGGAACTGCAGGAGGTTGGCTCCAGGGCGTGTCTGGCCCATCTCGCCCAATCCCCATTGGGGCTGATCAGAGCCGGCTGGCTAGGGAGGAACTGTGGGAGGGCTCCAAGGAATGTCTGGCCCGTTTCGCCCAGCCCCAATCCACCAGACCCCAGCAGCAAGCTAACCCTGATGGTCAGTGCACATCATAGCGACTGGTCAAGTGGTTGACCAAATGGTTGACAAAGTGGTCGACCAATTGGTTGGACACCTAGCCAGTTAGGTGTGTGTGTGTGTGTGTGTGTGTGTGTGTATTTTTTTTTTCTTTTTTTTTTTTTTCTTCCATCTCCTTGATCTCTTCTCTCCTTGGGAAAGAGGATGAGAATGAGCAGAGAAGGCAGTGTTTCCTCATGAGATGTATTTGGTTGAAAAGAACCTGCTAATTTCTGCCTCTCTACTAGCCAACACTCCCAAATCTGTCACCGTCCCACACACATACCATTCCGCCTGCCTCCGGTTAGCACTGATGTTGCATTGCGGGCAGGGGTTGCACTGAGTCCCCAGTGCTTGGAATAGCACATGGCAGGCCTTCAGTAAATATGTGCTAAGCACAGTTATACAGTTAGATGGAACCCTAAGTATAATTTGCTTAAAATGCCCCCTCCCTTTTTTTTCCATAGGGAAAATAAATACTCCTGTAAGTCAAAATTTACAACATTTTACCTCTCAAGGTATGGGGAAAGTGGCAAGAAGATTTTTTTTTTTTTAATCACACCCACAGCTAGTCAGTCTATATTGGATTTCTAAACAGAAAACCTTGTTCTGCCGTAGGCTGATTGTTACAGAGAGTAACTGTGACCTTCGCTTTTCATGCCCTGGATTATTATTGCCATCTCTGGGTACCTCCGTTGCTTTTGATCCCTTCTAAGTGAGAATGGTCAAAGGGAGGGGAGCGATAAAAGTGAAATCAGAAAATCATTTTGGTAGTTAAGGGAAGAGAGGCAAAAACCAAGATAATGGGACCAAAAGACATCTTATTTCTTTACAGACTTCTCTTTGCACAAAACTATCTAATGTGATTCATGTAAACAACATTAGGTGTAGACTCGGCCAGCTAGTTTCGGAATACAGTGGATATTTAAACAGACTACATTTATCTAAGCAGGGAGGGCTGTGGGTGCAGTGAGTCTCTCACTGGACACTGGCCAGGCAGCCCTGCCCTTCCTCTGATGGCACATAGCACGCCCATGTGTTCTGCTGACCTTTCTGTTTGTTTCCTAGTTTGACATCGACCACGAGATCGAGTTCGGATGCTCTGCAGGGGCGCTACGCAGCGCCCGAACTGGAAGTAAGTTCCGTTCCTTTTCCTGTCCTGCTTGCCTCCGAAGACCCACTTCCCAGCAAGGCTTTTTATGTTTATTTGTCTCTTTATTGATCTGCAGTCCATGAATACAATTTTTGTTCATAAAGAAATATCCTGTATACACGATGGGATTACAATCCTTGATTTCCCTCCAACAAGATTGGCCTCTCATGTGGCATCCCGCTGTCCGCCTCCCACCAGGAGCCCGGGTGGCTCTGTCAAGCTGTTCTTTGTTCTCCTGTCACAATGGAATGTGTGTGGTTTCCCACAATTTTTAGTCCATTCCTCTGTTTTATACCTGCCTGTGCCCTCCACACACAGCACAGCTGTGAGGCTATGTCCTAGCTGTTCCAGAGGAGGAGAGAAGGGTGGAGAAGGCGAGGAACCGGCATCCTCTGCATGCCACAGGGCTGAGCGCTGTCTGTACGTTAGCCTACTTATGGGTGTCAGTTCCATCAGGGGGGCATTTCACTGGGTAAAGAATTGTGAGCAATAGGTGTCCAGAGAATCATACTGCTTGGCAGATGCCAGTGGTCAGCAGAGTGTATTTTATTACCATGGAACATCCAGAGTTTAAAAAGGTCTGCCGAGACCGGTTTGGCTCAATGGATAGAGCGTCGGCTTGGGGACTGAAGGGTCCCGGGTTCGATTCCGGTCAGGGGCATGTACCTTGGTTGCGGGCATATCCCCAGTAGAGAGTGTGCAGGAAGCAGCCAATCGATGACTCTCTCTCATCGATGTTTCTAACTCTCTATCTCTCTCCCTTCCTTTCTGTACAAAATCAATAAAATACATATTTAAAAAAAAAAAAAAAGGTCTAACCAGATGGAGGCAGCCAGGAAAATTTAGCCCTGACCCCAAGAATAGAAAGAACGGGAAGTCCAGTGGTAGCTGAGACTTGTGGCACTTGCTATGTTCCAGGCACTGTTCTAGGCGCTACATACGTCATTCCATTTTATCCTCATAAAAACCCAATGAGGGTTTTCTCATCATTTTTTTTTTCTCTCTTCATTTTGCAAAGTCATTTAAACTTTTGATTTGCCAGCATACACCATGAGCCTGTGTTCCTAGCCCCTGATACCCAAGAGCTCAGATGCTGCTCCTGGCCTGGCATCCCGTCCTGGCTGCATCGTAATGGCTTTCCCTGGATTTAAGAGCCCTGGCTTATCTGATGGGCGCTTCCTCCTGCAGCTGCGTCTCTGGGGATTGTCTCTCCGGCACCCGAGCTGGAGAGAGGGAACCATTGTGAAGGCTTGTCAGTCTGCCAGCATCATTCCCCAGCTCTCTCAGTCACTGAAAAAGGAGACTGAATAAGAGAGTAAGTGAGGAGACTGAGTGAGAGAATGGTCTCTGGAAGGCAGGCATTTGTTCTCACCACCCACTGGGTGACCACCTGCTGGGGTGGTACCTTATGGTTTCAATATCCCTATTGTGCACAGAGCTAATGTGCAAAGAACAGCGAGTCTCGAAGTACCATGTGAGAGAGGATGTTTTTCTTTTTCAGAGGAAAAAGCCCAGTGTTTCCTTTGGAAGTGGAGAGCGTGCAGGACGGGAGTGGGTTTGCTCTCCTTGCATCACGTTTCACAGGGAACTCCTTTGAAAGAGAGTTAGTTTCTTGTGGAAACTTAAGCTTCTGAAGAACTGGGATCCCAGCACACTTTGTCTTGGGCCCCCTGAATAAATTAGTGAGTCTTTGGCTGTGTCACTTGATGCAAGATTCTGTCAAGGCCAGTCCCTCTATTACAAGTGCCCTTGATGTGGGAGGGAAACAGGGACGTGGCCTTGAGGTAGATAAGTGGGGTGAAGGCCTAGGCCCCCAAGTCCTTGTCCTTGGCTCTCTGTTCTTTGTAGTCAAAATATTATCAGCCAGAGTGTCCAGGACCCAGCGCTTCCCAGACCTCCTTGGGTACTTGTGTTTCTTATTTGCTTATTAGCATACTTCTGAAATCATGTAGTTATTTTTCATAACCTGATATTTTTAAAATTAAGCTTATTACGTTTAGTAAGTTAGGAACGTAGTATGAAATTTGAAAGGTCCCAAAGGCTCTTCAAAGGGAAGAGACCCACCCATCCCTGTCCCTGGCACCCCTGTGCCCTCTGAGCAGCCCGGTTTTTACAGGAAGGGGAGGTAGGCCTCCTGCTCCCAGATCCCTTAGCGTTGCCATCGCTGATTCTCTTGGCTCCACCGCCTCCTGGATATCACATGCTTCTGGTTGCCTCTTGTGAGTCATGGGCCTTGGAGTCCCCATCCCACACTCATTCTCAGCTCCTATCACTAGGCTGGTGTCCTGACCTCAGTTTCCTCAGCTGTAAGTGGGATAATAATCCCAGCCTCAAAGGCTGGAGAGGGTTTTTAAGGAAGTAACGAGTAGAGCAAAGCACCAGGAGTGAGCTCCAGGAGAGCGTGGACCTTGTCTCGTTCACTTCCCTTCTCAGGTTGAGTTTTTCAGAAGCAGCTGCCCAGGAAGTTTGATGAGCAGCGTATTAGTGAAAGGGAAGTGAGAAAAGAAAGGGAAGAGGCAGAGGGGACAGAGGTCGATGTTGAAAGGCGCTGCAGGCCGGACAAATCTCTTTTTCTCTCTCTTTTTTTTTAATATATTTTTTTATTGATTTTATACAGAGGGGAAGGGAGAGAGATAGAGAGTTAGAAACATCGATGAGAGAGAGTCATCGATCAGCTGCCTCTTGCACACCCCCTACTGGGGATATGCCAGCAACCAAGGTACATGCCCTTGACCGGAATTGAACCCGGGACCTTTCAGTCCCCCAGCCGATGCTCTATCCATTGAGCTAAACTGGCCTCGGCGGACAGATCTTTTCTGACCCCCAACGCATGCTCCAGGGAAAATATGGCTCATTGGGCCTGTCCCTTTCACCCCTGTGTGAGCATTCATTCCTGTGGTTTGTCCGGGAAGGGCTTGCCCTCCGGCAGGGTGACTTTGCTGCTGGGCAGTAACTGAGGATGCTCCTTTGAGGGCAGCTCCCGCAGCCCATTATATTTCCCACCACCAGCACGCTGAGCATCGGGAGGAGCCGGTGCTCGGTTAAAACTTTCCGAAGGGTGAAGTGTGCAGTTCCGGGCCTGGGATGGAATTCAGACGGGGCCGGCTTGGCACGCAGTGGCCTTTGATGCTTTACTGATGTGGGGAGCAGGGAGCACGTCACCTGACTGTTGGTTTTGCTCTCTCAGGTGGCTCGGTGTTGCTTTTGCTTCGGTCCCTACGGAGGTGAGTAGAGAACTTTGCACCTGGGTGGCCCTGCAGACCTGTAGCTCTAGCCTGTAGGCGTTCGGGATTCATGTACAGATAACTGAATGGTGAGGGGAGACTTTTTTCCAAAGCCAGTTTACCGTGTGCGTACTTTCATATTCTCCCCAAAGGGTTGTGAGGTTTTCTTGGTTTGTTTCGCTATTCTGGCAGGCAAGAAATCAGTCTTACATTTTGGCTCATATTTAAGTTATCCAGTGAGATTTAGAGAAGCAGAAAGTACGTTTTTTAAAGGAATGAAAATTTGGGAAATACCAAGAGGTCCTGACACCATGATTTGGACCATTTCTTTTCCTCAACTTAACTTTTCTTCTTGAATTGGAGAGTCCCGGGGGCTTGAGAACTCCTGGTCTACTCTCCCTCACTTTCTTCTGAGCTGATAATAAGTTTTGTGTTTTCAATGGCCCTTTTTTTTTTTTTTTTTTTTTTTTTTTTTTTTTTTTTTTTTTTTTTTTTTTTTTTTTTTTTCCTGCTCTATTGAATAGGGCAGCTCAGTTGGTTAGTGCGTGGTCCCCACTAGTATATGCCAAGGTTGTGAGTTCAATCCCTGGTCAGGGCACATACAAGAATCAACCAGTGAGTGCATAAATAAGTAGAACAATGAACTGATGTCTCTCTCTCTCCAATAAAAATAAATAAACTTGACTTGATATCCCAATAAGATTTAAAATAAATAAGTAAAATGAGTGGGATGTTAGGTTAACTCATCTTGTTCAGGAAGGTTGTGGGGTAGGTGGGGGTTTGTGCTTTTGGCATAGATGAAAATTGCCTTAAGGTACAAGTGGCTTTTGGCCTCTTTTCTACGAACAGCCCCTGGGTTGAAATGAGTGTGTGTCTGCTACAGCGGTCAGTGTGCGTGTGTTCACTCGCTGAGCTGGTGCTGGCTTTGTGGTTCACAGATGCTGAAGACCCGCAGAATATGAAAGAGGGGCCGGGCGTCATTTATGACGAGAAGAGAAGCACCGTCTACAGCTATTCCTATTTCCACGGAGTCTTCTTCTTGGCTTCCCTCTATGTGATGATGACCGTCACCAACTGGTTCAAGTGAGTGGCCGCCTTGGTAGGGGTGTTAGAAGGGGCATCCTTACAAAAGCAGGTGAGTCCTGTTCCTTAGGGCGCTGAGGCACAGAGCACATCTCCAGAGTCAGCTAGTGGTTTTCCAAGTCAATCAGTGCTCACCTTTACAGAAACAGTTCAAGGTTAGTCTAGCAGCATACTTTTAACCCTGGGACTTGCCAAGGCTTACTGCAACTTAAAAAAAAAAAAAAAAAAAGAAAGAAAGAAAGAAAGAAAAAAAGAAAGAAAGAAAAGGAAATTTAACTGCATATGGGTAGTCTTGAAAAACAGTAATGGTAATGGAGGAAGCACTTGGAATTCTTAAGTAATCATCTGCTTTTTAAAAATTGTATTAAATTCATTGGGATGACGACACCGGGTAATAAGATCATTGTTTTCAAGTGTATAGTTCCATAATTCATCACCTGTATACATTATCTGCCTTGTGTACTCATCCCTTTTCTACTTTTGAAAAGGGATTTTGACCTTTTTTTCTTCACCCTTTCATTACAAAAGTTGAAAACAGCTTTTAAAAAAACTAATATGGAAATATAAAAAGTAACAGTAACTCCCTCCCCTAATCACTGCTAACAGTATAGTATATATTCGTTTTCTATGCATTTACTACTTTTTTTTAACATAAATATGATTATACATATTACTTCCCTTTTGAGGTTTTTTACTTCGTTTGTTTTTTTTATTAACTTGGCAGTACATAATACACCTGACTTGTCCTGTCACAACATAGAGGCGCTTTTGAATTATACAGATTCTTTTTGCATTATTCTTTAATCCAAAGTTTATGTTGGATACGGATGTGATATAAATTAGGATACACATAGGCTAGACATTGAGGCTTAGTGTGCTTTTTTTTATTCATTCATTCCGCACACATTTGGGTGGCTCCTACGTGCCACACTGTTGTAGGTGGCAGGGCTTACATGCCAATGGGGGAGACTGTGAACCTAACCAGATACAGTGTGTCAGATCGTGGTGAGTTTTAGGGTGAAAAATGAAATGAGGAAGAGGAATAAAGAGTACCTTATGGGGTTTGGGGTGGCGGCAACAGAGTGACAGAGGATTCTTCCCAAACATCTTCCTGAGGGAGCTTCTGACGCTTCCCTGTGATCCTTTGAAAATTCCCGAGACTTTCTGGCTCAGAAAACTGAAGCAAAAAATGGATGGAGCTGTGATCAATTAGACAGATAAAAGTGTTGAGGATGTGGGAGACTACACTCCTGGGAGGATTGTAAAAATGGCCCAGCTGCTTTGGAAAACAGTTTGGCAGTTCCTCAAAATGTTAAACATACAGTGACAACATGATCGGGCAATTCTACTCCCAAATATCATATCCACGTGAAGAAAAGGCACGTGTACATCCACACAGAATCTCGTACACGGTGTGCACAGAGGCAGCATTGCTAATCACCAACAAGGGGAAGCAACCCGAATGCCCATCAACTGGTGCCGGGTAAACAGAACGTGCCGTATGAGACAGTGGAGTACTACTCAGCCAGAACGAGGCGTAAAGTACCGATAGGTGCTGGATTAAAGCAGGGATAAACCTTGAAAACATGGAGCAGAGTGAAAAAAGCCAGTCCTAAGAGGCCACATGATTCCATATGAAAATGAAAATGTCCCAAATAGGCAAATCCATAAAGACCGAAAGGAGATGGGTGAATGGTGGGGCAGGAGGAGGGGAGGAAATGGGAGGGCAGCTGAAGGGTACAGGGCTTCTTTTTGGGGCCATGAGAATGTGCTAACGTTTACTGTGCTGGTGGTCCCACAAGTCTGTGCACATGGAAGTCATTGAGCTGTGTGCTTTAAGTGGGTGTGAATTACATAAGAATCCAGTTGTTAGGAAAACCGGAAAGGCCGGAGGGGGAAAGCAGGGGGACACTTGGTGGAAGAGAATGCTCCCACGGTCCTCCTCCTACCATGACCACGATGGCTCTGTCGTCCCCACAGCTACGAGAGTGCCTACATCGAGACCTTCTTCAGCGGGAGCTGGTCCATCTTCTGGGTCAAGATGGCCTCCTGCTGGGTGTGCGTGCTGCTGTACCTGTGGACGCTGGTGGCGCCGCTCTGCTGTCCTACCCGGCAGTTCTATGTGTGAGGCCTGCCGTCTGAAGGGACGTCCTTTGAGCAAGTGTCCCAGGGGTCTGAGCATGGACGGGCGCTTTTCGAAAAGCTGGCTGGCTTCCCCTGGCTTTCAGGGGGAGAAAAATCTCCTGATGAGCTTTTTAATCCTGAAATTCGAAAAGAAACTACCAAGTTATCCTGAAAGAATTGAAAATTTCAACCACGCTGGTCCTGAGTGATGCTGATGTTTTGTATGCGTGTAACCCCTAGACACTGGGGTGGTAGTTAGGCGAGTAGTTTCCTTCTGCATGTGTTTACCAAAACCGTTTGGATCTCACAGGGGTGGAAAGTTTACCTTGTGTGGCCTCTCATTCTTCTCCTTGGAATAGAAAACATGCCAACATCTTGAGCCTTCAGTCCCTGACGGCATGCAGACCCCCGTGCACACCCGGGCCTGTGGGACCCGCACACAGCCCCCTGGTGTTTATAGGGCACAAGAGGCAGCACCTGCTTTTCACCCCACGGGTGCTGCCTCCTCCGGGCCCGCAGACGTCTCCCGTGGGAGTTGTGATGCTGGGAGTCACATCTGCCATGGTCCTTCTGTCGCCCTTCCTCGGGGTCTCCTCATCCTTCCTGGGTTCAGTATCTTTGTTATGTGACAAAGCACAGTTTGCTATCACCACCTGTGTGACCCCCTTCCTCCCCCCAGTATTATCACTACCTGATCAGAGTCACTGCAATAATTACGACTCTTATTTGTGAAATTATTCATCATGATAGAACAATATTCATGTTGTTTTCTTTGTCTGAACGATGGAAAGCTACGGTCTTACTTGTTTTTGCCGTTAACAGTCATCATACTTCAGAGCCTTCCCCGGAAGGTCGCTTCCCAGCTGAAACCTGCTGCACCCCTTTCGGTGGTAAGGTCAGCCCCCCAGTTTCTCCTTCCACCTTGCAGCCTTTGCCATGGTAAAGGCAGAGGGCTTTTGATTTCCAGGTGTGTAATGGGGCCACGCTGTCAATGTCCACTGTGGGGCTTTGGCGTAGATTTGCAGAGGTGGGGATCGTGGGCAGCGCCTCCGACAGGGCTGACCGGTCAGATACGCCGGTTAAACAAGTTGTAGACGTGACCAAGTATACTTCGAAGGAAAGGTGGGCCGATGGTGGGGCTTTTTAATGGAGCCATCACTAACTTCCACGGAAATTTCTAAAAGACATGCTTGTAAGCTAATACAAGCTAATGAGATATTGGACTTCAGGCAGCTGCCCAAGAAGATGTCCATTTTCGGTGCTGATGCTCTCAGGCAGGAAAAGAGTTTCCTTGGTGGAAAGTCTGTTAGAGACCCCAGTGGAGAGGCCTCGGGGTGCCCTGTTCGTGTCTTGCAGGAGGGAAAGACTCCTCAAGCTCCCTGGCAGAGAAGGTCTGAGGTGGATAAGATGGTCCTGTGCCCTACTGTATGAGCTGGTCAGAATTTGATCTCACGTAAAGCTGGCTTCCAGTGTGCCAAAAAGCTGGCTTTGGAAATTAGCCAAATCCTTCATTCCTACCTTTTTGCGTCCTCCGAGGAAAACAAATACAATGGATGGATTCTTCTGGGAACTTGCCTTCCTCACAGTGTCTGAGGTTCAGTGTTAAAAGGCACTTGTGTGTGAGAAAGAGCCTTTTGTCAGGCCAGGAGCTCTTTGCGCTCAGCAGTGGAAAGATGATCTGGAGCCACAAAGTGAAGAGCCGCCACGGGCAGCCCTGGTCCACCCCATGGCAGTGGAGTGTGGGCGTGGGCACAGGTGGAGGGAGTGGGGCTGGGTGTGCGGCGGCAGCAGCTTCCTGGTTGCTGCAGTGGCCAGCGCAGTGACCCAGGGCTCGGAGGAAGGGAGATGGGCTTCAGGAAAGACCACAAAAGGAGGCGGGTCAAGATCTGGGGTTGTATCAGTGACTAGCTTTGTTGTGTTTTCTTCTTGCTAGTTGGGTCTGGTAGCCAGCGATGTGACTTTGGTCCTTACAGCATGTCAGGATCAAGCAGACAAAGTTGAGTATTCCTTGACCCCCTCCCTCTGCAGAAAAGTGCCCAGGGAAACACAAAAGAAAGCCCATTGCCAACTGTCACTGAAGCTGACTCAAAAAAGCGCTTCCTTCCTTAGCTTGCCCAGCCAGGCCACGGTTTCCAGATGCTTAACACTTGGTGTGTGGCCTGTAGTTTCTTTCTGAAATTTGGTCTGACATAAGAGGCACCATTACAGTCACTGGGTTTTTTTGTTTTTAGTTTTTTTTTATTCTCAACGGAAAATGTAAGCAAGTGTATCTGAATGGTCAAGAGAGATGTGGATGTACTCTGAGGACTACGGGCATATACATTAAGTTGACGTTCATGATTATTAACTGTAATAAATACTACTCAGGTGATGAGTCAACGTTCAAATAGAGGTTTAAAGAAGCCTACGTTTTTGTGCTGTCGCTATTTAAGAAACTGGAAAAACGGTGCCAATTGCTTGGAATTGCTATAAAGATGGTGTTCACTTGATAAGTCCTTTTTTAAAATAATCGACTTTTGCTTCTCAACTTTTTGTACATAATTTAAAAAGTGCATCCCTAGAAGGTGCTGGTCAGATTCCTTTAGTAACGAAAGCCCAACAAGTTTGTAAAACTCTGTTTCCTCTGTGCTGTTCATCCCATGTGGGAGAATGTCCCCCTTTCATTCCCAAGAGTAAAACGACTGAGCGGGGGAAGGGGCTCTTCGGGAGTGTGGCCATATACCTAGCCATGCCACCTGACTGGAGGCCAGAGACTTTTCTATCAAAGCTTTCGGGCACCCTACGCTATCCTTAATGGGTCTTGCTTTTGTTGGTTTTGTTCTCTCAGTTTCTTGGGACGTGGCCTGAAGGAATTGGTTGCCAGAGATATTTGGAGTTCTTGGGAGTATAAGGAACTGTGTTCCTGTGGGCTGGGGGAGAGTGAGGTTACTGGGGACTTGGAGTTCGGTGCCCATCAGGAATGCCAGCAGTGGGGCTCCCACACCAGGTTGTTTAGTTCTAGTTCCTCAGAAGTTCCTTCATTATGGGTGACCTCTATCTAGTGCTAATTCCATCCACCCGAATAGTCACCCTCTGCCTTTTTAATACGGCCTTTCAAAATTATGTGCTTGCCCCAGCTAGTTTGGCTCAGTGGATAGAACATTAGCTCACGGACTGAAGAGTCCTGGGTTTGATTCTGGTCAAGGGCACGTACCTCAGTTGCAGGCTTGCTACCTGGCCCCAATCAGGGAATGTGTGAGAGGCAACTAATTGATGTATCTCTCACATTGATGTGTCTCTGTCTCTGCCTCTCCTCCTCCCCTCCACTCTCTCTAAAAATCAATGGAAAAATATCCTCAGTGAGGATTAACAAAAAAATTACAATTATGTGCTTAATTTTGGCCAGAAGTTTACTACCATTGGTGCTTCATATCACCTACAAAAAGGGGATTCAGAGCCTGCATTTATGCTACCTGGGCCTGTTTTCTCCCTTGACTGCCTTTCTATCGATAAATAGCCTCTCAGTTTGCTGTGCGTTCACGTCCTGCCCCTCTTGGAAAGGAAAGAGGGTTTATCCTGTAAGTAGGAAGGCGTGTCCTTGGGCTAAGACCCTGTAAGAGAACATTGGGCCTTCTTTCTTCACCCAGGAAAAGTGCAGGAGCCACTTGGTCCCTGTAGGACATCCTTAATTTGCCAATAGCACTAACTCCCTATGGCTTTGTTCTTAAGGCCATTGTGTCTCCTGCCATCTTTAATAATAAAACTTGTAAAGATTCAGATGTTTCATTTTTTACTTTTTAAAAATATATTTTTTATTAATTTCATAGAAGAAGGGAGAGGGAGAGGAAGAGGGAAAAGGGGAGAGAGAGAGAGAGAGAAAGAGAAAAATATCAATGATGAGAATCATCTATCAGCTTCCTCCTGCATGTCCCCTACTGGGGATCGAGCCTGCAACCCGGGCATGTACCCTGACCAAACCATGACCTTCTGGTTCATAGGTCAGTGCTTAACCACTGGGTCACACCAGCTGGGCAAGACTCAGACATTTTAATACAGTGTTGCATTTTAGGCAAAGATGGGCTCTCTAATGTTAGATCTACCTAATTTGTTCGGAGAGCTATTTATTGAAAAGGATCTTCTGAACTAATGCTTGACATTCTCAAGATCTTTCTCTTTTTTCTTCCTCAGTAAATCATTTGCAGAGATGTTCATTTTACCAAAGAGGCATCTTTTGTTTTGTTTGTTTTGTTTTGTTTTAAAGTAAACTTCTTTCAGCAAAATCTTAATTGGGGAAGGGTAGATTAAGAATACATATGTTCAAATTCACTTCTATAGGAGTTTAATGATATATATGTGAGTAAAATTATGGAAGAATTCTTGAAGGTAATCCTTTGATGCGAAGGATCCTGGGAAATCCTCTCAGGTAAGGAAAGCTTGTAAGATGTGTAATATATGTCTTGAGAGCTATTTATAAGAAATTTAAGAGGATTGTTTGTTTTCATTAAAGATTTAAAGTTTTTTTTTTTTTTTTACTTTACAAAGAAAACTCTACAAAAATTTTATAGTCATAACTTTGTTAATTTTTTAAACTTTTCTGAAACAATTAGCTGTGGTTATGTTTTACACTATTAGAATTTTTGAAATGTAATATGTGTGGCAAATCTACTCTGAAATGTGTATGGTCTCAGATATGATTAGAGTTTTGGTAACTTTTAAATATTTCCCCCCTTTTAGTCACAAAGACAACTATGAATTTATATTTGTTTTTTGAATGCTAATTTTTCTATGAAGCTGACCAGTCTGAAGTTGACCAGTCTTTTCCTATATAGAAAACTCAAAACTTGTTAACTCTGTACTTTAATAAAATTTAAAACTGAAAACCACGTTGTTGTTGTTTTCTCCCTTCTTTTGGACACATTTATAATTAAAGTCTTGCAAGCTGTGTTTTCCAAGATGTTGCCTTCAAATGTTAATCAACTCTCTTTTTTTAGAGAGAGTGGAAGGGAGGAGGAGAGACACACAGAGAGAAACATCGATGTGAGAGAGACACATCAATTGGTTGCCTCTCACATGGCCTCCGACCAGGGCCAGAGATCAAGCCTGACTGAAATTGAGCCCAGGATCCTCCATTCTGAGGGCGGGCTGACTCTCAGTTCACTAAGCCAAACTGGCTAGGGCAATCAACTCTCTCTTAAGCTTCTTAGAATCTATTATGTTCTCAAGAACAAAAATATAAACATGGAAACCCATGTTTTTAGCTTCTCCCTGGCTGAAAGCCCCATGTCCTTCTTTCTTCTTCATATGCTTATGCTAGTGACACACTGTCATAAATATGAGAATTGGGGTAAGTCTTTAAAGAAGGTAATGTGTGCCGAAACCGGTTTGGCTCAGTGGATAGAGCATCAGCCGGTGGGACTGAAAGGTCCCAGGTTCGATTCCGGTCAAGGGCATGTACTCTAGTTGCGGGCACATCCCCAGTAGGGGGTGTGCAAGAGGCAGCTGGTCGATGTTTCTCTCATCAATATTTCTAGCTCTCTGTTCCTCTCCCTTCCTCTCTTTAAAAAAATCAATAAAAGATTTAAAAAATAAAAAAGGAGGTAATGTGTGCCCTCCACTGTGGTTCTTTTAAAATATTTGGGTATTCTGGGTCTTCTGCATTTCCCTTTAATGTTTAGAATTAGAGCCCAGCCAGTGTGGCTCAGTGGTTGAGCATCAACCTGTGAGCCAAAAGGTCACAGTTCCATTCCCAGTTGGGGCATATACCCAGGTAGTAGGCTTGATCCCCAGTGCAGGGTGTGCAAGAGGTTCTTGCAATGGTTCTCTCTCATCACTGATATTTCTCTCTCCCTTCTCTGAAATCAATAATACATATATAGTATATTTATATATTAAAGTTTAGAATTAGATTTAACTTGTCCATTCCCTTGATTGGAATAGCATTGAGTCAGATCAGTTTGGGAAGAGTTGCCGTCATGGATAGTAACAGTAAGTCTTCTGATTTATGATTACAGCTTTCATGTATATAGATCTTTTAAATTTTCTTTAGTAGTATTGTATAACACTCCTGTTTTTATTAATCTTGATACTTCTAATCCTCATTTTTATGAGATTGGTTTCGTGAATTTTTTTGTGTTTCAATAACAAAATTTACCATCTCAACTGTTTAAAGTGTGCAGTCAGTAGGGTTGTCTATATCCACGTAGTTGTGTAGTCAATCTCCACTTTTGGTCTCGGTGAATTTGTCACTTGCTCAGTTTTTTCCCCGCGTTTCTTCCCTGATAGATGCTTTGGATGTTTTATCCATCCCAGACGTACGTACTTTGGGATTCACCACTTTTTGTGGTAAATGCTGTCCATGGGTTTTGGGTTGTGTTCTTACATGAGGTTTCAGGAATCTCCATTCACTCTTGAGTTGAACTGCACTAAGACTTTCACACACACCTTTTCTCAGACACTGATTTTTAGGGTCATTGGTAATCTCCATGTTGCTGAATTCATTGTCCTCATCTTTTTTATTCATTTATTTTTAATATATTTTATTGATTTTGTACAGAGAGGAAGGGAGAGAGATAGTTAGAAACATCGATGAGAGAGAGTCATCGATCAGCTGCCTCTTGCACACCGCTTACTGGGGATATGCCCGCAACCAAGGTACATGCCCTTGACCGGAATCGAACCTGGGACCCTTCAGTCCCCAAGCCGACGCTCTATCCATTGAGCCAAACCAGCCTCGGCTCATTGCCCTCATCTTATTAGACCTATTGGACTAACATGGTTAGCTCAATTACAAACCTTATTCAGACTTAACTGATTTTTACATTCACTTATCCCCACATTTGAAAGTGATTATTGTAGTTATTCTGTTTCTGTTCACATTGCACTTAAAATCATTAGATTTTTTTAGTTCTTAAGTCTTTGCTCCCACAAAACCACACCCCAGGAATCACCCCAGGAACATCGTCCATCCATGACTGGCCTGACTTAGTTCTTAGCGCCTCCTTTTGGGTCATACTAACTTATTCCAGGTTGAAAGGCCTGATTTGCAGCTGAATAGTTTGCTCAGCCTGCTCCCCTTCAAAAATGGTTGAGAGCCCAGTTACTTCAGTTTAAACTATTATATTATTATAGTGCAAGCTGGTTGTGCTTCTGTTCAGTTCTCTTAAAAAACATTGTGTTGTCTGTGAATCTTCACTACGTTAACTAAAAACCATCCCCACCAATCTTTTCCAGATACAGCACCCCTCCACTTTGGACTATAGGCAGAGTGTGATATATCCATATTCTTGCACACGCTTTGCTCTGTTGCCTAGCTGAGATTAGGAGGCACACTTTTATAATTCTTAGAAACCTTTTTCCAGCCAGGAGTACAAGAGTAGCATTTTCTGAGATCTTAACAAGGGGCTTTATCTTGACCCTGAGGTCATATTTATAAATATTTTTTATTTAATCCTATATACACAAATTGTTATTTTAACCTTTGAGGTCACATTTTACTTGTGGCATCTTAGAAATTATAAGTAGGTAATAAAAGTGTTGTTAAAAGATACTTCATTGATCTTTTAAACAAAATTAATTAAATAAATTAATTTAATAAAATTATTAGATAAAATTTAATTAAATAAAATTA